AGAAGTCACCAGGCAGTCAAAGCAGAAGTGCACGTGAAAGGAGAGGATTCCAGAAAAGCGAAAAAGAAGAGAAGGGAATCATCATCAGTAAGATGAGAACAGAGAACCGTCTGGAAATTGGAGAGCAGTGAGAAGTGTGGGAGCAAGGGCTGAGCCCGGAAAGGGAGAGGCCAGGATGATACGGGCCGGGTCAGTGGAAGGAAGGTGAAGAGGAGAACAAGAAATGAGAGCAGGCTGAGGCTGCTGCGAGACAGGAAAGGTGAGAAGCTCAAACATGACAAGGGAAGAAGGAAGGCAGAAAAGATGCAGGCGGAAGAATTGTTTCTAGGACAGAAGTTCTCCAGAGTTCTGCTCTGACTCTTCTGACCACTTCGCTCTGCCTCAGAATTTTCATTTCTCAAGGGGCTGAGTGACGAGCCTCATCTAGAGCTGCAGGAATAGTATGCAAAAGTAACAAGAAATGGATTGGAAATGTTCAGATTGCTTCATACAGCTATTTACAGAAGATGAACCAAACCGCTCTATTCGGTTTAGCTCTGATCACAACTGAAAATGACGGTGGCTGCAAGCCACTTTTCCAGCATTCTTACTCTCCAGTTCCAAGCATTAAATTATTCACTCAACAGTCACCAACAACCGAGCTGCTACCCCGAACTAGGACTTAGGATTATAAAGAGAAATAAGTCAAATTCTGCGTGTGCAAGTTGTTCATAGACAATGTAGAAGACAGACGAGAAGTGCTGTGATCAGACATATTAACAACGCCTTACTGAGGGGCAGGAGAGGGAGTCCTCCAGCCATTTCCCAAATGTACCCCTATCCCTTCAGCCAATTGGCTTATTTCACTTGGAAAGCCCTCTTTTCAGTCCTGACCCCCAAGCCATATCTCTCAAAATGTTGACCATTCTTTAAATCCCAAGTCAACTGCCATTTTTTCAACAAAGTAGTTCCTAACCTTAAAAGTTGGAATTAATCTTTCCATTCTGTGTCCTTCTGGAACACTTTATCTCTGTTTTAATATTTACCCAATTAGTTTTTCTAAAAATTATGTATGGTGAAGGTGTATATATACATACACACATATACACACAGCAAGGTTGACACCTGATTCACCTTTGGGTCTCCCACAGGCCTGAGCATGGAGGTTTCTTAAAACGTATTCAGATCTGTCCATTTAGAACAACTAATCTGCAGTCCCTTTTAGGAGGCCAAAGTGAGAAGACCCTGCTTCATTCTGGCAATTGAGAGTCCTTGTTTGCACATGCCAAAAATAATGTCTTGCTCTGAAGACGCATAAAAGAAATGGCCTTTAGACTTAAATGAGCCAATCATTCTTCCCATCTCTTTCCACCTTTAGACAAAGAAAAGGCAAAAACCAAAAACCAATCAACTAAACAAAAACCTCTCAAATTAATCAAAGAATTTTTAATTTGGGGGCTGGCCCAGTGACACAGCCGTTAAGTTTGCATGTTCTGCTTCGGGGGCCCGGGGTTTGCCAGTTTGGATCCCGGGTGCGGACACGGCACTGCTTGGCGAGCCATGCTGTGGCAGGCGTCCCACATATAAAGTGGAGGAAGACGGGCACAGATGTTAGCTCAGGGCCAATCTTCCTCAGCAAAAAGAGGAGGATTGGCAGCAAATGTTAGCTCAGGGCTACTCTTCCTCAAAAATTAAAAAAAGAACTTTTAATTTGGAAAGGACTCTATATTTTGTTTAATCTAACACCTTAATTACAAATGAGGAAACTAAGTTCCGAGAAATTCATATACTTCTTCAATATCACACAACCAGAATCAACAATATCAAATTTCAAGATCCTTAAGTTCAAGTCTCTTTCCAATAGACCTTTCAAATAAAAAGAAGCAAAAAAGAAATAGCACTAAAATATACAGAGAAAAAGAATTCATTGAAAAGCTGTACACATTATAGAAAAAAATTTCCTATCAGTCTATTTGTCCATAGAGAATATCATGCTTTCACTAACGTCAGCAAAAATGTTTGTAGAGTTTAAAGTTTTAATTTAAAAATCTGACTTTTGCAATTTCCAGATCCTTTATCCTTAGGGTCTCCAATCATTCGATACAGTTGGCAATGAGAATTGTTCTGAGGTTCTTCTCCAAGATATTTCAGTGTGTTTGCGTGACCCTGGTCATTAACAGGTGTTCTTAACAGTTGTGGAAGTAAAATAATACATCGAGGCTTTGTTGAGAGGTGCATATTCACACATGTTCTCTCCCACAACTACTTAGGCGAATGCGGCAGATACACTCACATCCAACCAGTTTCCTCCATCCCAGGTTTGTTAGCACTGCCTGACCCTCTGCCTTTTCCCTGCCCTTTCCCACATCACTGCCGCCCACCCCCATCGCAACAGATAGGATCCGATCTTACAGATGTCCTAGGTTGGCAACTCGAGCACACACGTGCACACGCACACACACAAAATAGGTCTAAGCACTAAATTTGAATTTAAAACTTACTGGGTTCCAATTCTAAATATATATATATATATATACACACACACACACACACACACACACACATAATTGTAAACGGGGAAATATATATATATTTACTCAGATATATAATATGTACACATATATGTCTGTCTATCTATCTCTTCACAGTGATGCATAGTCACTCAGATAAAGACCACCTAGTTTTAAAAGTTCTTTCATTCACTGCAGAGGATGGCCTGTGAAAACTACCTCCCAGCCCCCACGGCTGCTCTGTACCTCCCAAGGTCCCCTTAGGAGCACAGGGACAGTGCCTGGGTTTTGGAGCCTGCTACCTAGGGCTCAAATATTAGTTCTGCTATTTACTATTTGTGTGATCTTGAGAAAATTACTTAACTCCTCTGGACAATAATTTCCTTATTTCTAAAATGACGATGTTAATATCTATCCCGGAGGTGTAATGTATGCCAGTGGTGCTGCACGGTAGGGCTCAGTAAATAACAGCTATTATGGTGAAGGTGATGATGAGGCAGAAGAACATGAGAGGAAGGAGGAAGAAGATCCACTTCCTGAATGCCCTCTGCATTTCAGAATTTGTCAGCAAGGCTCCGCAGAACTAGACTGCTAGCCTTTGGCTGGGAATATTAACCTGAGGTAGGGGAACAGGAACTAGTGGTGGAATAGGGGTGGGGCAGAGGGTCCATGAATGGCTAGCACTTAATACGTGGTTTTCCTGTCTTAAGCTTACATATGCATACACTTATGTCTCTTCTGTTGCTGGGAAAAGGGCATTCACAGTAGTGAATCCAGCATACTTTGAGGAGTCAAGCCCTTTTCTTTTTTGCTTAGAAGGACTGGACTTCACAAAGCAGGGTGAACCAATTCTGCCTCCTCCATGGTGGGTAATCATAGAATTTCCAGTTGCAGGAGTAGGCTCCTGCTGTTTGCAAACCCGGGCAATTCATCCCCGTGAGACACCCCACAGACTGCAGAACAAATGCCTGCTCCTCTGCGGAGTCATGGAGTCAGGGTGCACAGCCAAGCCACGGGCAGGGCCGCAGCTGTGGACGGAGCTGTCCAAAGGACACAGGGAAGGAGGAAGCCCCAACCTACCCCGACAGGCTGGGAGTGACAGAGCTATTTACAGCCTGCCTAAGATGCCATTCTGTTTGCAAACACACTACCTGCCCCAGCACCTGCCAAACAGCTCCATCAGAAGGCCTGAAGACAAATGACTAATGTTAAAAGAGGCCTGTGCATCACTTCAGTGATAACTCCACAGGCATCCAGGAAACATGGAAAAGACCTGTTCTGAAGTGTGACCAACTGGCCTTTCCCAAGAAGCTGTAGTCAATGGTTGATAGAACACAAGTGATCATAACTCTGAAGAGATTTTGCAACTCTCTCCTTGCTCAAAAGCAACAAGAGCCCACGAGGACAATGAGCCTGGAAGACTTCCAAAAGAAGAGATGAGGAAGGAAAGGCTGCGTCTGAAGCCAGCACTGCTCTTGCTTGTGCATAGAAAGCAAAGATCCGAGGTTGCATGAGGTCATCTCATCAGCCACCGAAAAGGCAGACGGCTCCTGGGATGCTCGGGCATTTGCCTGTTAGTCTAGGAGTGAAGCTGATTGCTCTGTCTCCAGGTGAGAGAAAGGAGTGGGAGTGGCCCATCCCCTACCCCTAGGAGTGCTTTCCAGGTACCAGCATCTAGGACTTTGCCCAGCACCACTACACCAAGATCACTGTAGTCCAACGTCTTTCCCTAGAACCATGCTTCACCCAGCTTTTGAGTGGAAGGAAGAGGTCACATTTAACAAATCTAATGAGAGTGTTGTCAATGTATAAAACCCCCAGAAGAGGGACAGTGGCTGGAGCAGAAGCGCTTTTCAAGGCTTTGGTTCTAGATCAGCCGAGCAGACACCTGTGTATATATAGACAAAGCTTCAACCACCACCACCTCATCTCACCTGATGACTGCCTGTGACGAGCGCTTGCATTCTCTATTTCTGGCTTCTCCAACAACAAAAATACGTCTTTATGCTCGGTCTGGGTCTGAACCTATTCTCGGATGCTAATTTGTTTTTTGTTTCTCCAATATGAAAGGTCAGATAAACGAGAAAGGAAATACTTTTCAGTCTTAATTTTGACTCAGATCTAAAATCATTAATGATTCTCTATTCATTACCCTTGATCTCTCCTTTTCTCTTTAAGTGCTTTAAGTAAACGCACCCTTCACATACCCTGGCCCCAACAGTAAGAAGGTAATATTCTTAGAATGAGGCTATTAAGTAAAAACAAAACAAAGACACAAACAAACAAACAAAAACAGTGCTTCCATTTTCCTGAGTCCCTCTGCCAATGATGCAGCGTGCTTAAATCTCCGTACAGCAGCTGCTTCACTAAGTTTTTGGTTTGGAAATAAAAAGAGACTTAGTTAAGGTCACTGACAATTATTTTCTCAGCACAATAGAAAAGCAACACAACCCATTAACAACACTAAAATGGCAGAATCACACACAGGGGGAGCAAGCAGGAAAAGAATACCTGGGATTGCCAGATTGGAAAGGGGGACGTTGTGGAGGTGAGGGGGCAGCGAGGCCATCCAGTCGGCATTGCAGACCTCCGATGATGTCTTTGTCCCGCTGGGGTTGGGGGAGCAGATGGTCCCCATCCTGAGTTTGCTCCTCGCCTTCCTAACTGCTAGCATCACTCTGTCAGTCAACAAACTGCCCAGGGTCAGCCCAGGGCCACTCACTCAGTGATCATTATTGCCTAGGCTCTCGAGGCATTTCAGGGCCACCTCTGTCAAGCCAGTCTTGCCAAAAGGCCTTTCTGCCTGGCAGACGGGACGAATAGGTGGTCCCTAACCCCCAACACCCGCACTCCCCACCCTCTCCGGCCCGGCCCAGCGGCTGTTCCACTCGCTTAATCTGCTCAGACCCGGCTCAGTTAAACTTCTTACGTTCCCGTCTGGAGCTGGGGAAGGTAGGCCCCTAGGGATAAATCTTACAGAAACTGCACGACCGACGAGCAGCCACGCCCGGAGCCACTCACACGACAGGTGCCCACACCGCATATAGACAAGCCGGCGGGTCTCTACACACGTGAGCGCCCGGACGCACCGTCGCCGGCCTGATTTGTCTTCCGTGTGTGTCCCTGGGCTGCCACCTAAGCTGGGCCTGCCTGCGAGCCCTCCCCGGCGTGTCGGCACTGACTCCCCGGCCCGGAGGCTTCCTGAAGCGCTCCCAAGTCTAACCGGCGGCGCCGGCACTCCCGCGGCCCCGCCCCGCACTGCTGGGCAGATTGGCGGGGCTAGGCGGCCTGTGATTGGCCGCCGGCAGAGCGCGCTCTGATTGGCCCGCGCCCTCCCGGGCGGCCCAGCGAGGAGCCCCCAGCCCTTGGCTGCCCCGCCTCCTCCCTCTGGTCCTCCTGCGCTCGGGTGGGTGGACAGACCTGCTGCAGGGGCTGCAGGCGGCGAGGGTTGCAGGCTGGGACCCGTCAGACCTCGGACAAGTCGTCTTTCCTCCAGCCTTTCACGCAGTCAGCGCTCAGATGTTAAACGAAACCACAATGTCTTTCCTTCCTCAACACGCACACACACACACACACAATGACATTACACAGGAAGTGTTGCATTCTCAATAAACCACAGAGGCAGCGGAAATACGAGAGGTAAAGTGGCTGAGAAAGGTGCTGTATCTCATATTTGGATGACAGTATCAAGGATGGTCTGTGTTTCAATCAATTCGTAGTTAAGATTCACGTACACATCACTTACTCCCATTTTACAGAGAAGGAAATGATACTTTACATCTGTATTGCCTTGCTTGGAATCTTCTTCCAAATTCTTTGTCCCATTTGCTCTTCACAGAATCTCCACAAGGCAGGGAGATCCCCTTTTCGTAGATGAAATGGGTGCCCGGGGGCAGTCAGGGAGCAGTTCATGTGGTGGCGCTACTTGGAAATCCCGCTTGGAATGAGACTCTCAAGTCCATTTTCCCGCTTTCCGCAATGTCTCCTACTCCTTCAAATGGTACTTTTCCGTGGCAGTAAACTATAGGGTCTCTCATGACAGGAGGACTTTGGACATCGATAATCACAGACACATCTTGGCAAACAGGCAAAGCACCCTGGCCTCCACGGTGGCGCCCTGGAGGGCTCCAGTTAGGGGCTCCTCAGGGCCTCAAGAGGGGCTTAGGGAAAAGGAAACAGCAGCCTGTACCAAGAGCACACTGAAGGCTCCTATACAGATCTGTAGGGCAGCTGACATTTAATCACCAAATGGCCTCACCTCATGTCCAGGCTAACTCCCCAACAGCAACGCCTGCGCCTCAGCCACCTTTCTATACCGTAACTCCTGCTGCATTTTGCCTCCTGTTGACGTTTTATTAAAATTTCCTCTTCCCGGCTATTCTTAACATTCATTTAAGCTTCCTTTTCAACCTTTTGAGCTGTATAATATTACCGAAAGGTTTTTTTCTTTCTTTCTTTTCTTTTCTTTTCTTTTCTTTTTTTTTTTTTTTACTGCAGGAGTATCTTTCGGTTAATAAGAAAGTGTACACTATTTATCATGGATCTTCTGATGCTGAAAAGGCACTTCAGTATAGTGCTCTTTTGTCAAGTACACCACAGGATAGTGGGAATACATCATCTGGCTGTTTGCATCAATGAAATGCTCCCCCTGCCTCCCCACAAAAACACTCTGTGAAGGAAGATCCCAAGATTACTTTTGAAATGTCACCTTTCTGGGCTTCCCTTGAATGTAAAAAAAACTTTTTTTTAACTCCCAAGCCCAAAACTCTATGGAAGCTATCTAAAGCAAACAAAATGTGTTCTTTAAGCTCTGCTGTGACATGTTAATTTCAAAGCCTTTTGTTTTTTTTCTTATTTTTCAGCTCTTAATGGAAGGAGTGAGCAAATTCAGAAAGTATTAAACTTTGGACTTAGAGACATCACTGCATGAGAACTTGAAAACAAGAGAAGTGGATCCACTTCACGATGAGATGTTTTTCACCTCTAGCAGCTTTTCCAATCAAAACTACTTGATTCGCCCGCGAAAACAGTTCAAGAGAAGGCAACATTCTTTCCATGTATTCTTGAGTCAGTCCTGGAAGAAATCTTGCAGATGAAAACACAGTACTTGGTACAGTACCTGGCATATAGCAGATGCTCAATAAATATTTGCTAGAAGGATGGAGATGCTTGGTAAAACATGCTCTGCTGGGTTCTAGGTAGTACCTTAGAACAGTGCTTTTCAAACTTTACTGTGCAAATCAGTCATATTCTGATCGAACTGGTCTAGGATAGAGATGAGATTCTGCGTTTCTTACAAGCTTCCAGCTGCTGCTGCTGCTGGCTCAGACCACACTTTGCGTGGGAGGGCCTTAGAAAACAGGGTCATATTTGACAGGTGGGGATATGTATTGCTTTTTCTCTCTCTTTCTCAAGGTTTTATAATATTCTTATAGCACTTTTATAATTAAAAAAATAGATTTGCTTTAAAAATCCTAGCTAAGAATCTCTAAGTATTAGAGAATAACTTTTCTGTCATATAATGTAATGGAAACTAAATTATCAATGGGATTTTTCTGCTATGCCACAGATACTTAGGGAAAAATAATTTTAAAATAAGAAATGTCATTTAGAATTTGGATAGTGAATATTTTCTTACCTATAGTATTATGGAATTTATCAAAGGGAAAAGAGACTTAATTAATAGGAGGACTGAAATTTTTTTTTTTTTGAGGAAGATTAGCCCTGAGCTAACATCTGCTGCCAATCCCCCTCTTTTTTCTGAGGAATACTGGCCCTGAGCTCACATCTGTGCCCATCTTCCTCCACTTTATATGTGGGACACCTGCCACAGCATGGCTTGACAAGCGGTGCCGAGTCCACGCCTGGGATCCGAACCGGCAAACCCTGGGCCGCCAAAGCAGAATGTGCATACTTAATTGCTGCGCCACTGGGCCGGCCCCAGGACTGAAATTTTAAGGCAAGTCAATTTAATTAATAATTACAACCAAATGGAGTGCCTATCATGTACAAATCATTCTGATCCGTGCTCGGAATGGAAGAAAAGTTAAATTTTGGCGTCTGATTTAAAAAACCTCAGATAATTTATAATCCAAGAGAAAAGAGAGAGAAATATGCGGATTGTAAACTGTAACATGAGGCGGAATGAAGGGATCAGGGAGGTGCATGAGGAGGATGATAAAGAGCTGTGTGTTTTGATGGGGGCAGGGCAAAGGATGCGCTGTCAGAGGAGGTGGCACTCAAGCCAGGTCTGGAATTCTGAGAAAAACTTCTGCACGTGGAAAATGGGTGGAGGGTTTTTGCTCCGGGAAAGGAATGTGGAACTGAGAAGACATCCGCCTAGCTGTGACAATGAACTGGAGACATGAAAAACAGAACATACACTAGAGTGGCAGCACGTGGAGTAAGTGGGAAATACAAAATGGAACACACGGTCATTGACCCTTCACAAGAGCACAGTGAGTTGGGTACTATAACCATCCCCGCTTTACCAAGGACACCGAAGCTTAGAGGCTACACAGGTCTGCCCAAGTTCTCATAGCTGGTTAGTGGCACGGCTGTGGCTCCAAGTCTCCATCACTGTACCGGTGGCTTCCTGTTGTATGTTACCTATTACTTTTGTTTTTGTAAACCTGGTAAAGGCTGTTTATGACCAAAGTATATTAAAGAGTTTAGGCTTTTTTTTCCCTATAGACAAAAGGGGCCATTGCAGGTTTTTGTGAAGGGGAGTAAAATGATTCACTGTCCTTTAGGAAGATAATTCTGGTATACTGAAGAATGGTTGAGAAATATGGTCTTTCAGGATAATCATTGAACTCAGTCAACTAAGCAAGAAAAAAGTGAGAAAGCATGCCGAAGCTGTGGACGCAGAGACCAAATGCATGGCCTTTTTAAACTGTGCTGCTTGCCTTCCCCTCCCCGCCTCTCCTCTCCAAGGCTCTGTAATTCTACGGCCCCAGTACAGAGCCTGATTACTTCTGAAGTTATTTTTCCTCACTAGAAAGTCTCCTTAAATTGTTCACCCGTTTTCGTTGTTTACAACCCAACCTGTTTCTGTGAATCCATCTACAAATTTTGTTTTCTTTTCTGCAAGTGTTTACTTCATTACTTGATCAAGGACCCCACTGCATTCCGGAAGAGGTGACTGCAGGCTCTGCCCTCTCTCGGAGGCTACCATATTTTGAAAATGTCCAGGATGGTTCATTTTCTTTGGACTCATGTCATAAATGAATAGTGAGGGTCCCAGAGCAAGTGCCTAAACAGGTTGTCATTTGGATATGTCCGGTTGGCAGGGCAAGACGGCCTGGCTTATACTTGACTGAAGGGACCCGGAGAGGCTCAGAAGAAACATAACGGGCTCAATGATACTGCGCTGCAGCTGTCCTTGGCCCCACATCCACGATCCTGTGCTGCCTTCCCTCCCAGTCCGTGTGCTAGATGGGAAAGGAACAGACCTCAGAGAGAATCAGAATCCAGGCACAAGTGTGCTCCAGGGACATTACCAGCAGATGGGTGAGGTTATATAATGCTTGGGGTTCCACAGTGATGTCTCGGTCACAATTTTTTTGCTGGCTGGAGGGTATGGGGCTGATTAGGGACTGAAATGAGGAGCCAGGTAAATGAGAGATACGATGGAGTATAAGGCTGCTTTGCTTTGTGCCTCGTATCAGCAGAGTTTATTTATCCCTAGTCATCCCCAGCCTCCTTTTCGCAATTCAAGCCAAAAACCTGTGATAAGGATTAGAGTGGAATGAAGACCTGTCACCTGCATGGGTGGTGCTGGGGACATGGTGACAGCAGCAATTACCTCCAGGAAGAGTGACCTCATTGCAGTAACTCAGGACATTCAGGAAACCTCCAAGGAAGGGGAAGTAAAGAAGCACACTGCCTTGTGAGCACATGTGACACATCTCAGACATTCCTGACATCAAAGGCAGAGTCAGGAGCTGGGGATCCAGTCATTTTGTTGATAAGGCTAGAGCCGGAGACCATATTATTGGGACTCAGACCCCGATTATACCCAAGTGAGTGTCTTTGAGAAGCTGAGTAAGAGAGAAGCAGCAGCTTAAACAGGAAGTGGTGACATGTGGTACCGCCTCATCCCCACCTGGTCTTTATGGTCCACAACTGGGATTCTGTATGGAGACGAGAGTGAATGGCAGCAGTAGTGGACCACAAGATTGTTTCTCTCATATTTGAACGCTTGGTGTTCAGGAAGAGAGCCTCTGTGCCTTAATATTTATAGAAAATAAAGTTTTTCTGGTGTACTTTAAAGAAAATTTCCTTTAGCGACAACAAAGTGTTACTATAATACTTCTGAGGGAAGTGAATAACGAGTGATGATTGTAAAATTAGTTTAGTGTTCATTTATTGCTTCGGCCACATCATATTCCTGCACCCTTTTCCACTCTCCCTTCCCACTCCATCCCTACAGCCATAACAAGTAAATGAGCTAGTTAGCTAGTTACGGCAAAGTGCCTGATTTAATATGTTATGGAGCCACCTTCTGGCACTAACTGCACACTTCACACAGACAGTAAATTTCCTTTCAGTTATCCTAAAACTGTC